CCTGACTGGAGGAGCTCATCCAGCTGTGTCTGGAGAGAAGCCGGGGTATCAGCTTCAACCACAGGGCTGGGCAGCTTGTTCCCCACCCCCACCCCCCTCTGTGTAGTGATTTTCCTCTTTCAAATGATTTCAAGTGATTCAGGTGATTTCAAATGTTTATATGAACCAATATAAGTGAAAGAGAGATAGCACAGATATCACTGATATTTACGTTAATATCTCTCCTTGGTTCTTATAAACATTCTGGGAGGTGACCTTCTAACACACTGCGTTCTGTACACAACTCTGGCCTCTTGTTTTCCAGGTGTGATAAGCAGAAAACATCCCAATGTCGGTATGCATGTTGTACTTGAACAAAGGATGTATTTGAAAAGAATTCTTTAAAATTCTGTGGTGACTAGTCATCTCTGTCAAATTAAACATTGGGCTTTGTTACTAAACATGTCAAAATTAGGACCTCCATCAATAAATCAATAAACTCAACAAAGCCACACTTATTATGTATTATAGATAACAACAACAATAATAACAATAATAATGTATCAGAGCTCTTTTCACATGAATCATATTCCCAGTGACAGCAACATGAGCCTAATCCAGTGGGCACAGGGCACCCTGGATGGGATGCAGCTCTATGTACTGCATATGAAAATTGTTTGTCCTTGTGGATTTTCAATAATCTGGTATATAAATTGATTAATAGATTATTGCACCATCATTTGGCTTGACTGTTTCAAAATATATCATTTGTGTATTAATGCAATGGTTTCGAACACAAAGTAACTATTTTCTTTATTCCTGTTTTCTACGTCTTACCTCTGCATATTTTGTTATTGTGCTGTTTCAGGCCCAAGAACTGATAATAACAGCAAAAAAAGACAATTTGAAAAAGCAATCCCCATACATGGTACTCCCTCAGTGCCCCATTGGGTCTAGCTTGCTCTAAGAAACAGACATGACTTGATCCAGTCTGTCTTTAAAACCCTGAGCGTGTAATTTAATAGAGCCTCAGGGAGCCTCACGCTGTGTTTACTGTGTGTGACTCTGGGCAGTAAGCAGGATGCAGAAGCTCTAGTGATGCATTTCTCAGAGTGGCTTTGCTGACTGAATTACAGTATAATCTGGTGTTTTCTCCAGGTGTAACTAAGGATGAGTTTTACTTATTGACGTATTACCATTCCTTCGTGCTGTATCCCAAACGAAGAAGCTAACCGACACTTCCAGGGAGCTAGTGTGTCAGTTCCACGTGGCTGTAGACCGGTCTTTACACCCTGTTTGAATGAAGAGTGCAAGGCTCTTCTTGAAGAGAACGAAGCACCCGGAGACCCGGTCACTGCCGATCACCTCATTGGATCCCTGGATTCCGCCAGACGAAGTCGTTGGGAGGAAACTGCGAAGAAGCTCAGCTTCACCCATTCCGGCCGGAAATGCCGGAGCCTCATTGGTCGACTGGGAGCTGCTCATAAACCACCAGTCCAAGCTCGATCAGCTGTCGGCCCTTGAGGTGGCGAAAGCACCTTTAAAGAAGGGACACCGACGTCACGTGCGAGACAAGTGGCGGCACTGGGGCCACTCGTCTGACAGGTGGACTAAACGGTGACAGCCCAGAGGCATTCAAGGAATCGGAGTTACGCAGAGTAAAATCAGGCACCGCTGCAGGGTTTGACAACCTCCTGCCTGAGTTCCCGAATCATTTAGGCCCAAAGGCGAGGATATGGCTTGCATGATCCCAGGAAAAGAGGATCCCACGAGTATGGCGCCAGGCCATCCCAAAAACCTGGAAAGGATAGCATGGCTAGCTACTGCCCGCTTTCCTTGTGCGATCCAGTCCTTGCTCTGACCACGGTCATCGAGAACGGATTCCAGCAAAACCTAAAAACTGGAACCCTTTTCCTTGACCCAACAGCAGCATGTGATACGGTGTGGCATGCAGGCCTGTTGTTGAAACTATCCTGCATGGTTGCCAGGCTGGGCTGTCGAAATAGTCACACTTTTCCTCCACGCCAGAAGATTCCGGATGCACATGGGAGACAGATTCAGCTCTTGGAGAAAACAAGCGAATGGACTACCACAAGGTTTGGTCTTATCTCCAAGCCTCATCGACGTCTACATCAAGGATCTACCAGTGACCAAGTCTCGCAAATTCATCCATGCCGATGATATCTGCCTTGGAACCCAAGGTCACACATGCAAGGAGGTAGAGAGTGTGCTGAACAAAGACATGGAGACAATGGCAGAGTCCCTCACTAGGTGGCGTCTTCAGCCAAGTGCAACCAAAACTGTCTCTAGTGTCTTCCATCTGCACAGTGCAAAGGCTAACCAGGAAATTAATACCCATCTCAAGGGTCGGCGTATTAAGCCCAGCCCGAATCTGGTTTACTCCTTGGATACATCGTTGACCTACCACGAACACTTGAAGAGTACTGCAGAATAATCTGCTTAGTAAACTGGCAGGTACAAGTGGAGGTGCAAGGGCTCAGACGATTAAGACAACAGCACTTGCTCTGTGCCGTTCAACAGCAGAGTACTGTGCTCCAGTCTGGCCCAGATCATCCCACACCAAGCTGGTTGACATGCAACTTAACACGTCTATGCATACTGAAGTGGGACATGTATACATCTCACGTATCCAGCATCACAGTATCACCACGTAAGCACATTGTGAGAGGTGTTGCTGGGGTCTGTTAATTTAGCCTAAACAAAAGTCACGCTAAGATGCCATAAAGCTGACTTGCTTTAGCAGCCCCATTGACTTAACACTACATAATAAAAGACAGGAACAACACCCACAAACAGGATAAAGCAGACCAATGTCTGCTGCCTATCAAAGGACAGAACCTAGAGCAAGACAGAGCAGGACAAGAAGTAATTACATATCAAAGACCAGGACAAGCACTCAGATCGCGAAACAAACTTTCTTCTGAATGTATATAAGAGCTGGGAAACCCTTTCAGTTTGTCTGTTCTGTGGGGCAGACCCAGCGTGCGTTCTTGGACTTACTGAGCTCGATAAAACTGAATCTGCACAAGACTGTGTCCTGCTCCTCTGAGGAAGGATTTCCCACAACACGTACCATCACTGGAACCCTGCGTACTACTCCACTACAGTACGTCGACAGGAAGCTACTGCCAAGCTGTTGGCAAAGTCTGCGCGAATAATAGGTTACCACTTCACGCGGACATTGTGTTTCATCCAGCAGCACGCCTGTCCTCAAGACGCCCAGTCGGGTTGGACCCGCCACCAGAGGATATGAGGACTGGCTTGGAGTGCTGAGTGGTCAACAGCAGATGTCATGAACCAGTCCCTCCTGGCCGAGCCATCTGTCTGTCCTCCTGGCTTCCACCTACCGAGACGGCTGTGGACAACGTTGAACTGATCAGGTCAGGGTCGCTGTGCAGGCAACCTTGTCCGATGGGGCCAGGCAACTGACCCAAAACGCAGCTGTGGTGCACTGCAGACTATGACACACGTGAACAACTGTCCACTGACGCGCTTCAGTGGTGGACAGTCGGCGTTACACCTAGCTGATGATGCTGCTGCTTGCTGGCTCGGCACACAGTGCAAACGCTAAAGAAAAGAAAGACTTATTGACGTGTGAGATGCTGGGCACCCATATTTTGGCATGAATAATGTCAATTGAACACCAAAGTGAACAGGTAGAGCAAACTCCATTGATGCAGGGGGTCAAATTGCTTTAGGATTAAACTTTCTCAGGTGAAGTTACACTAAGGGACAGTGAATTAGGCAGGTAGATGGTGCAAAGTGTCACCTGTGGTGGGATTTTGAGGCAATAAGTAGTTCAATTAACATTTAGTAGGGTGGAGAAAGCATTAAATTATATATTTTTTTCTGTAGTTGCGTCTAATTTATGTACAAATAAAATAAGTACGATTTTAGGTTGAAAGGGTGTTTAAATGTTAAATTGTACAATGTGGTAGTAAGAAGTACAGCTGTCGTCATCATGTTATAGAAAATATGTTGCTGCTTTGGAATCTGACCAGAGAAGAGCAAACAGATACATTCTGGGACAATTAGCTTTGAAACCTACTTAATGAGTTAGATAAGAACGTGTTTGAGTTTTTTCAGCCCAGATTCTTGAACAGAAAGGTATCTCAAATCAAGAGAAACTGGGCTAAAACCCTGGGGAATTCAGGTACTATTCAGAGGATTGAAAAGAATAATTGTGCTTAACTAATGGAATTAAATAACGGCTTTTCTTAGCAGTTCACACACCAAACTCGCTAGGTTAAACATTTTAGTCCCATGTATTACTTTTATAAATTGGTTTCAAAGGGAGCAATTCTCCATTAAAACGGAGTATAAGGACTCCAAAACGATTGTTTACGTAATTGCTAGTCATAGTTTGATAGCATGATTGTCAATAGAAGACAGGTTTCAAACTTTTTTGTCTTATTACGCTTGTTTTATTTAAATTTACTTTTAATTTAATTTGAAAAATGTTGCAGTTAAACTCCCAACAGTATCTGCGTTTTGTTTTTCAACGTTGGACTCCCACAACAGATGAATCATTATCAAAATGCTGTTTCTAGCGCTTTCCCTTCAGTGATTTGTGTTCAAGGACAATAATAATAATAATAATAATATAGCTGCAATGGAAGACAGAGGCTTCTTCTCTCCGCCCGCTGTCTAGTTGTCATTCCTTCGTGCTGCGCTGAAGGACACGGGACGCAGTCGCCAGTGTTTCTGTCTGCGAACACTTTCGGTTTCGATTCTGAACCTGCTGCCTTCGCTTTCACCCAGCGTCTCCTGATGCCGCGCTGCCTATTGGCTGAGAGCCGCCTGGATAGCCAATCACAATTCAGCGTTATTCATAAGGCTTCATACTTAAAATACACGCTCTTCCCCAGCCCTGCTCAGAGCCGTGGACGGGCTGTGTTCGCGCGGCACCCGGGGCAGTATTTATCTGGAGCTGTAATTTCCGCCGTATTCTAAACACGTATTCTTTATAATTTCCCCAATACTTGGGAAACTTGGAAGACATGATGTGGCAGCTTCTGGTGGTGTCTCTCTGCGGCGTCCAGCTGGTTTCTGCGGGTAAGGCTGTCTGTATAACTGTAATATGCCCACCTGTTTGTTAATCGCCGTTTATTTCTGGGTAAGGATGAGCTTTTCATTTAATCAGAAGCGAACTTACTTTGTAAGTATGTAAGATACCTCGTTTTCCAGTACATTTAGAGACCTTGTGCGGCTGTTGAAGAAACATCAAACTGTAAATTATTTTACAGATTATTACTTAATGTAACGCGTTATCACATACGTATGCGTGTGTCGCTTCAGATTTTAAAGGTCCGCGTCTTCTTGTTTAGTTTTAGTATAAAAATACTTTTTATTTGCTTCGGTTCCGCCCACGGTCCACAGACATGCTGGTGGGTTAATCTGCCGTCCGGAAAATCCAGAACAGCCTATTAAGTGCTTCACCGGTTACGTGAAGCAAACTGGAATATAGTTAAAGCACAGATCTAAAAGAAAATTGAAACCGCAAAGAGATTTCTTTATTATCTGTTGAGCAAAGTGGGGGATTATAGATGTGTTACTTTTTTAAATAAAAAAAATCTTTCAACGTTGAATAAATGTAAACCTGTAATGCTTCTTTGTTGTTTTCTCTTTTAATATTTCATTTTCTTGTTTCTTTCTCTTTATAAAACGTTTTAGTGACTCATTCCCTGAGGTATTTCCACACGGGATTCACAGGAGTCCCAGGTTTTCCCGAGTTTGTGGCCGTGGGGATGGTTGACGATGAGCAGATTGACTATTACGACAGCGTAACCCAGAAGGATGTGCCCAAACAGCAGTGGATGAAAGATCACATGGATGCCTCCTACTGGGAAAGACAGACACAGAAAAGATTTGGATGGCAGCAGGGAAGCAATAAATATGCTTTGGAAGAACTACCAAAGAGGTTTAACCAGACAGACAGTAAGTAAAAGTAATATTTTAGCCATGGCGTCAATGTTTATGATTTTAACCGCAATAAGCATGAACAGAGCTTAATACTGAGTGGTGTGTAAGATATTCTTAAGGCTTATAGCAAGAGAATGAAGAAAATAATTGAAAGTAATAAAAATTATTGTTAGTGTAAGAGAGTATAGTTTCAAAATTGAATGTTGCTTTTACTTGTTTACATTTTTCCACGAACACTGATAAATGCTCTAATTGGTTATGCTGACTTTAAGTCAGATTTACCATAGTGTGGTAAACTGTTGTTGATCAGGTTAGAGTTAACTGCCAGCACTACAAAGCTGGATTCGGTCCCACTAGTCTTTAGGTAACACGAGTTTGTTATAAGTCAGAACTGACCCTCTGTTAGCTGCTGTGTGACACACATAGATAATCACCATTCTGACAGAACTGCCAGTGCTCTGAGCTGCTCACCAGGAGTCTGACTAGAACACAGCCCACTGTGTGGTCAGGGCTGATCTGGACAGGGGTGGACAGTCCACATACCCTTCTGATAAGCACGGGATCTGTTTGAGGACAGAACTGGACAGCTTTGGGGTGACGGTCCAGTCTGTCTCATTATATAACAGACACAGTTCTCATGAGCTCAGCTCCTGTCTCCGGAGGGGTCAGGGCTGTCCAGGACAGGGGTGGACAGGGAGCTGTCTGGTCTCAGCCCCAGGAGAGCTCTGTGTGACAAAGCAGGACGTGTCTGCTCTGTTTACAGTCGCTTGTGCGCGCCAGCGTGCAGTAACAGAGGAGTGTGAGACAGTGGTCACCACTCGGACTTCACACGGCCTGGCCTGGCCTGGGGGGGAGAGAGGGGCTTTCCTCTGAGCGGAACCGAGAACCCGAGAACTCTGTGGCTCTGAAGTCCACGTGTGACTCAGGGCGCAGGTCCTGAAACTGGACTCTTCTGTCCTGCTTTCACACAAACTAGATACAGATAACACAGCAGTCTGTTCTCTTGAGCAGGGCTGAGTGCTCAGATCTCTCACTCACACACACACAGCAGGACAGCAGTCATTTAGAGATCGGTTCGATGTAGGAGATGGGATGGTGTGGGGTGGCGTCAGTGTTAATTGAAGTGTAAGTGTGAATGTTGAAGCAGTAGGAGCAGGGAGCTGG